ATCAAGTCAATATTAGACTACTAACTTAAAAGCACTAAGTAAACGAGAATTTAACGACAACCTAATGCTAATAAGTTCGTTTGCAAACATAACATTACCTCTGACGAAGTGGTCGCTGCAGACACGGGCATTGGCAGACTCTGCTCCTCCCGACTGTAAACGTAAATTTAAAATCCATGTTTTCCTACGTTTTTCGGTTAGAATTTTCCATTTTTCTCCTCTTCGTTGGGCTATTTTTGGTACCCTAAAATACCGTTTATCAGTTTCTCGGGTCGACCTACTGGAGCATCCGTAAACACAACAGGACATAGGCATTTTGCGTACTGTCTGTCTGTGATTTTGCGCTTATCTTTTTCACTTCCGACCGCCAGTCAAATTTCGCGCTTTACGTCGACGTCACGTCTACGTCAAATGAAACCTAGCTATACTTGAGTGACTTAAGCCTGCATTTCTTCTAAAGGCCAGCAGAGAGCGCTTCTGCGAGCTGTTAAAGAAGCTGGCTGTATCCCAATTCAGGGTCTGCAGCCTTAAAGGCCGCATTTTAAGGCCGATTACGTCACTGCGACGCGACGAAGGCTGTCCCAATTCGAAGGCTGCTCGAAATGCGGCCCTCAAATGCGTCCTTCATTTCCCTGAATTTTAAGGACGTGGCGGTGTAGACTTAGTGGGCCAACATATCCCAGAATGCATAGCGCGGCGATGGGTGTGGATAATTTTGCCGAAAAAAACGGCGGACGAGGGGCGCTTGAAGAGTAAACTTTAAGTAACTACTGAATATTATGTCACTTATTTATGTGCAAATGTTTGATAACGAAGAACATGAAAACATTACTGTTGGCCACATGTCAGCAAAGTTATGTGACATTAGTGACGTTTGTACAAACTTGTTTTTAAAGCCTTTACTTTAAAATATACACCATTCAATAGCTGAACTTAATCTTACAGAGAATGATCAAAGCTCATGTAGAAACAAACAAACAAATGAACAAAAGATTTTCTCCTTCATTTCTGTCAAACAATGCTGTACGTAACGTTTCCAGCTGTTAGTATCATGGTTGCTAGGCAACCTGGGCAGCGCAACGGAGGCTAGACCGTCCCATTTTACAAGCCTCGCACTTCCGGCCTTAGCGGTCTTTAAGTACGCGGCCTTTGTGGACTGTTAAGGCTGCGTACTTTAAGGCTGAATTGGGATACAGCCATTGTATAGAGGTTTATGATGAAGCAGCCTTTGGCTCCTCTGATCTTTGACCTCAGTAACCATTTTCCTGATGAGTTTATGGGCTAGTTTTAAGTCCTATTGTTCATTTAGTAAATTATAGTCCAATCAGATTAAAGGACAAACCGGTGTATTTTCATTGGCTAACTTGTGAGCTGTCAGCCAATGAGCATGCAGTAACACATCATCATAGAAGTAGTACAGTAGCTGTTTTCTGGAAAATCATGTTTACCTTGTTCATCGAGCAGTTTTTTGGCCAGCTCTTCATTTTCCACCTCGTCTGGTCCCTCTAGTTCAAGAGGTTCATCTGTGATGTCCAGAGCCTCGAGCTCCAGCTCCAGCTCCTCTGTTGTGCTGCCCGCATCCTTCCCCTCTCTGCCATCTGAACCCAACAGCAGCACGGTCAAAACAAAGTACACAAATCTCTTCCTTTTTTGTAAGCATGGGTGTTTTATAACATACCTTTGGCATCCTCCTTCTCTTTGCCCTGACTGCTCTTCTCATTGTCCTTAAAGAGGATGGCGGGCACAAATGCCTTCAAGTCCACCAAGTTCTCATAGAAGTTACGAGCGTCTTCGTCTTCCCAGATCCCTCCTTCCAGGTCATACTCTCCAGGCTTCCCGGGGGTGAAGATGTCGATCCCGGGGCCGTGCTCTGTGACAGCAGAGCCATGATAATATCAGATATTAACAAAAAATTGACAGGGTATAATATAAGGAAGAAAAAAAAATGTGAGGCCACACACCCTCCTGCACAGTCTTGTCCTGAGGCAGCTCGGGCATGTTTTCATCCAGCAGATCAGCCAGAGACTGAGTGTTGGCCAGCAGCTTCTGGTAGGAAGTGGCAAATTCCTCGTACTGCTTGTGTCGGTCCTCGCTCAACTCTCCTTTGGAATGCAAGATCCGCCTGAAGAGGACAAAAAGTTAGGTATGCTCAAACAATCACGCAGTGGTTTCCCGTAACAGCTGAACCTCACCTGTTCTGTCTCTCAATGTTCTGCAGCTCCCGGTGGTCCTTCTTCAGGTGTTTGGTGAGTGATGTGAAGTATTCCCGCAGAAGATTCTGGAAGGGCTGCTGCTTCTCACTGCTGATGATCTCGCTGGGAGGGAAAGCCAAGCCAAACTTCTCGGCCGCCAGTTTCACCTTGCGGGGCACCAGCCCAGCAATGTCGTCCCCGCAGTGCTTACAGAAGCTGATCACCACGGAAACATGGGTGTGCGTCTCGCGGTCAGCCCCAATTATGTTTTTCAGCTGCTCGTAAATGAGCGAGAGACCCTCTTTGTCTGTGAAGAGACCGACGATGGTGAGCTCGGCGATGAAGCGGAGGTCTGTGCGCAGCTTGCTTACGTTGGGTGCCTTCTCCTCCTTCCTGGCTTCAAAGTGCTTCTTCCAGGCCTGCAAGAGCAACGGGGCAAACTCGGCGTACCTCTGGTGGAAGAGCGAGCACAGATGGACCGCGCAGCCGACATCTGAGATCTTCAGCTTCGCTTCCACAACGGAGCTCACAGCCTCACCGATGTACTTGCTGAGGTTGAGTGAGGCAAAGTCGTTGGAGAGTGAGTCTCGCTGCTGCTCGGTCAGCGTGCGCAGCTTCTTCACGAAGGCGGTGTTCTTTTTAAGGCTCGAGTCCAGGCGGCTAAAGAAGGCCTCTTCAGGACGACCCTCCTGGGCATTCTGGTTCTTGCTGCGCAGTTCCTTCCTACACTGATGGCGCTCCCATGCCTCCTGGTACAGCTGATGCCCCTCCTCCTTCTCCCTGTAGAGATGGGGTGACCCGCAGAAAGAGGCGTGATTAAAGAAAGATAGTAAAACCAGTGCAGTTGTTTCGGGTGCTACAGTGGCCCTAAGACTAACATCAGGGGTTGAGATGGATGGTGGTGATCAACTCTGGCTCTGCGAAAGGTCAAGTCAAACATATACACGCTGGACCAGCAGACACATCACTTCCTCTTATGTTTATTTCTTAAATGAAGGTCATGCTGACATCAACATGCTTTTAAAACATAAAAACACATGTTCTTGTATCAGGTTTTTAAAAGTAGGAGACACAAAAGAAAACTTTCATCTGCACACAGTGTATGACAAACTTTTAACTTAAGGTTTAAGTGGCTGAGCTTTATCACATTTTTTACATGTTACTGTATTAAGTATTTTACACAAAGGCCACATGGAGATATTCAAATAAACTCACCTGATCAGCTTGCATTTGAACTCAACTACAGCCATTTTAGGGAATCTAGAAATTTTGTGTAGTTCATTTATTACATGCAAATTTACAGCTTTTAAACCCAACAGATTAAACTGTGCACAAGCAGATGAAGCACTGATGTGGAGAGGTTTTGTATTTCTAGTACATTAGGATCCCATTAAAGATCATCTTTGAATTCAAATTTATTAATGCTAAATTAGAAAAACTACAGAGATTCATCTTGGGATAAAGATGTAGGTCAAACCGCCATGTTATCAGCTCTTATGTAGCCAAATCTCCATTTTATTGTGAATTTTAGTGCAGTGTATTATTCTACAGACTTTAAAAACAAGTCTTTGTATGCCTTCCCCACTCTTATTATGCTTATATACTAATGAGCCTCAGCATAACCACTGACCAAAATGCTGGATTTTGACGATAATGTTGTTCTTCTATATGATGTGGACCAAGATCACAGCCCTGCGCTTGGCAGATTTGTTAACATTGGTGTGTCCACACCTTCCTCCAATAAGTGTGGCTAAGATTAAGTAAGCGGTAGAATTGATCTAAATGGCATTTTAAACATTGCTAAAATCGCTATTAACTCAGAATTTAACAATCAAGATGACTTACTTGAGGAGGGCAGCCTCCTCCTCACGTTGTCTTTTGGCTTCCTCCTCTTTAAGCTTCCTCTCCTGCTCCTCTTGCTGCCTTTTCTCTTCCTCTTCCTTCTTCTTCTGCTCCTCCTCTGCCTTCAGTTTTTCCTCCTCTTTCTTCTTCCGCTCCTTCTCCTCCTTCTTTTTCTTTTCTTCCTCCAGCCGCTTCCTCTTCTCCTCCTTGCCGCCGTCTTTTTTGCCGCTCATTTTGGCCTCGTCTTTGGCCTTGTCCCGAGCAGATGCCGGCCTCCTCTCAGCCTCCCTGTCCTTCTCCTTTTCCTTGTTGCTGAAGGTGCAAACATCTTTCTCATCCATGTTTACTGAGCGCTTGCGTTCAGCAGGCATACTGAGGAAGGACAACGAGAAAAGCTTAATGGCAATAGATGCTGCTGTATAAGTTAAAGAATCATACAACAATCTGTGATTTTTTGAAAATATTTCCATCAGCCTCTTATTAAAATTAAAATATTAATTATCAGCTTTGTTATTAAATATTGTGATTTCCTTTGATTCTATTCGACCATCCAATTTAAGAAAAAACCCTCAGGAGGGTATGGAACTTGTTGTCCAAAATCCTCAAATCAACAAACCAACCATTTACGATCAAACAAACTCAGCTTATATGGGTCCAAGTTACATTTACACCGAATAATACAGTCAAGTATAAAAACATTTATACTTTTAATTTTTTTTTTTACATGCACATTCCACTGACACTGTGACATACAGTGCTGTACTTTGCAGCTGAGTTTCATTCCTGATGTTACTGAGGTAATAAGCTGCACATATAACATCTATCTGCAGATAATAGTGCACTTATAACATACTGTAAATAAGAGAATACATGAAAATATGGCACCTGCATTTTAAATTGAAACTCTGATAATAACCTGCTCCCAACACAGTGATGTGTTCAGCATCAGTTACCATGGTGATTTAGCCAACTAAAAAGAGAGACACTGAAACCTATGATTTGAATCTCAAGACAGCTCACTAAACCATTCATCTCACTTCAGAGTACACCCCTCTGGACTCTCACTGTGGGTGGGGCTGCAGGTACACTCAATAGCAGTGAACTAAGTGAGGAAACGATGTACAGTATCTCACAAGTATACCCCTCACATTTTTGTAAAGATTTTATTATATTTTTCCATGGGACAACATGAAAAATCATGTCTGTTCTGTTTGTAAAAACGTAAAAGTTAAAAATAACAATTTAAATAAAATAAATAAATAATAATCAAGTGGACCACTTGGAAAAATAAATCCTTTGGGCATTTCTTTTGGCCTTCAGACAATAATTCTGATTGTTACAGTGCTCAACGGAACATTCAAAAAAAATAAATGAATCAATTGGGCCAGTTTCATTTAGGCATTTACTCACTTTTGTTGGCAGCGGTTTAGGCAATAATGGGTGTGGGTTGAGTTATTTAGAGATGACAGCAAATTTACACTGTTGTACAAGCTGTACACTCACTTCTTTATATTGTATCAAAGTGTCATTTCTTCAACGTTGGCCCATAAAAAGACATAAGAACATATTTACAAAAATTTAAGGGGCAGACAGATACATCTATATCAATTCATTTTGAAGATGTTTTGAAACAAATCAAAAATAAGTAACTAAAATTAAACATGCACACAGACTATCGTTGTACTGCTGTGTGTGAACCGCACAGATAAGCCCAACGATTTCCTGTTTACCTGACACATTAAAACAAATTCAGGATTGATATAATCTAAAAGTCACGTCTAAAGTCTCCAGACACAAAATGGAGGAAGGGTCATCGTGATGAGATGTCATAAGGGCCTAAAATTTAAAAAAAAATTCAGTTTAATCAAACATTCAGACAGAAACTCCGCGTAAACACGGCTGAACGGGCCCTGCAGGTGAGCAGGTAAATCAAGCGAGAAGCTCCTTAAAGCTGACACCTGTCCGCGCGTGTAAACGCCGTTTGGTTCGTGCACGTTTTTAAAAAAGAAGAGATTAACATTAAACGTGTAATGCTGTTCCACTGTAAACGCTACGTTCAACAGAATCAACCTTTTGGGGTTGAACTTGTAATGTTAAAGTCAGCGTGACAGCCGCCCACGCAGACTCCGCCTGTTATCCGCCAAACCTGCGTCAGCCTCCTCCGTGTGAACAGCTTAGCAGAAGCTTCACTTTAAAAGACAAGGAGAAAGCCGCGTTCACAGCGCCCAGCAGACGCTGCGACGTTTTTAAACGAACAAACAAATTTATAACAAAAAAGAGCTAGCGTTAGCACGGCTAGCGAGTTTAGCTCAAATGGACTTAGCGAAAACAGGCACAAACAAACGCTTAGACAGCGCAAAACTGACAGACAGTAATTACAACGCAAATTTACAAACATACAGCAAGCACTCCCTGTTTAGAGAAGCCTAGTTTCTTCTAAATAATATGTAAAGATGAGCGGGGTTACCTGTTAGCCGTAGCAAAACAAACATCGGTTCATCCGTGCTGGTTTCCGGGTGAACAGCATCAGGACCCTCTCGTTTTGGAGTTCCAAATTATGCCTGATTAAAAATGTATAAGTTACCTTACATTTTCTCCGATACATGAGAGCATTTTTATTCTGGGCTTTCGAAACGATTACCTTAACAATTTAATCTTCAAAGAAGTGAATAATATTGTATTATATATTAAAATTATTGTCTCCCCAACAGCCAGCATTCCAGACTGCTAACAGGTCAGACAATGGCTGTATCCCAATTCAGGGTCTGCAGCCTTAAAGTACGCAGCCTTAACGGTCCATAGGACAATCTTAAATAAGTGGTTACAAAGAGACATCACAATTTTTGGAAGAATATTATTAACCAAAATGGATAGTTTATCTAGATTTATATATCCAGCTTACTCTTTATCAATATCAAATAAAGTTATTAAAATAATTAATAGCATGAATTTTAATTTTATTTGGAGAAATAAGTGCCATTATATATCTAAAGATGATTTGGTTAAACCATACATTGAAGGCGGTGGAAACGCAATTGATTTTGATATAATGAATGGTGTTTTGAAACTTAAATGGTTAAAATCCTTCCTAAATAATCCACACTCCATTTGGTTTTTTATACCAAGTAAGGTCTTTAACACACTGGGGGGTATCGATTTTCTCCTAAAATGTGACTTTGAAATTACTAAGCTACCTGTTAAACTCTCTGAATTCCATAAACAGGTCCTTCTTTATTGGAAAATGTTATTTAAACATAATTTCACTCCACATAATAGCCCAATTTGGAACAATAGATATATACTGATGAACAGAAAATCTATTTTTATTCAAGATTGGTTATCAAAAGGTGTTTGGGCAATTGCCCATTTTGTAGATGAGGAAGGACATGTTTTAGGACATCAAGATTTTTGCCAAAAGTTTAATATCCAATGTTCTAAAAGTAAATTTAATCGGGTTATAAAATCCATTCAATTGTCACTTAAAAACATAGTTGTAAATGATATAATATATTCTGACATCTCCCCCAAGTTAAGGCAATTATATATAAATGGTATTCGATTTTGTGATGTTAAATGCAACAATAAGTTTCTTAGATCTTCATTAAGGAGTCTTTATTCTCCAAATTTACTTAGACGTAATTACATATTAAAAGATTTCCAAAGGGAAGAAATTGAAAAAATAAGAACTGATTATATCACCTTCCCTATCCCTCCTAAATGGAAAGAAGTCCAATTTAAAATCTTGAACAAAATTTACCCGACAAATAGACTCCTTGGTGATAGATTCAAAATAGAAACGGGTAATTGTGTATTTTGTGAAACAGAAGAGGAGGATTTGGACCATCTATTCTTTTTGTGCAATTTTATACAAATATTTTTGGTTGGATTTTCATACCTGGCTTTATTCCAGTGGGATTCAAATTACCCCATTTACCTTAAATATGATAATGTTTGGAGTGTTTTTGAAAGAAAAGAAAACTAATTATGGTGTTAATATGTTATTAATCACGTGAAAGCAATTTATACATAAATGTCGTTTTCTTAAGACTAAACCAGCACTAGCTTACTGGAAAAACGACTTAAACCTGTTGGTTAAATCTTTGACCTTAGTTTAAAAAAAAACTTTTTTTGTTTCCTTTGTGGAAGATTTTGATTTAGTAAGTTAATAATCTGTTAAGTTATGTGACCCCATCTTTATATTTTCTTTTTCCTATGTATGAAAGTTGTTAATATGTAAGGAATGTTTATTCTCTGAATATGTAATATATGGTGTATTTTGTTGTTTGTATGTTAATATTACTAAAAATAAAATAAAAAATAAAAAAAGCCTTAACGGTCCACAAGGGCCGCGTACTTAAAGACCGCTAAGGCCGGAAATGCGAGGCTTGTAAAATGGGACGGTCTAGCCTCCGTTGCGCTGCCCAGGTTGCTTAGCAACCATGATACTAACAGCTGGAAACGTTATGTACAGCATTGTTTGACAGAAATGAAGGAGAAAATCTTTTGTTCATTTGTTTGTTTGTTTCTACATGAGCTTTGATCATTCTCTGTAAGATTAAGCTCAGCTATTGAATGGTGTATATTTTAAAGTAAAGGCTTTAAAAACAAGTTTGTACAAACATCACTAATGTCACATAACTTTGCCGACATGTGGCCAACAGTAATGTTTTCATGTTCTTCGTTATTAAACATTTGCACATAAATAAGTGACATAATATTCAGTAGTTACTTAAAGTTTACTCTTCAAGCGCCCCTCGTCCGCCGTTTTTTTTCGGCAAAATTATCCACACCCATCGCCGCGCTATGCATTCTGGGATATGTTGGGCCACGAAGTCTACACCGCCACGTCCTTAAAATTCAGGGAAATGAAGGACGCATTTGAGGGCCGCATTTCGAGCAGCCTTCGAATTGGGACAGCCTTCGTCGCGTCGCAGTGACGTAATCGGCCTTAAAATGCGGCCTTTAAGGCTGCAGACCCAGGTATTAGTTATATCTGTGAAAAGGTTACAGTTGATAATGGCTGTTTAATGCCCTGATATGACTCAACATGGGTACTGCAGGTTTTCAACAAGCAAGTAGAGGTGTTATTATGGACTTTCTTCTTTACCGGTGTCAGTTATTTGCCTTTCAGTTACTTCTTGAATCTCTTAAATGGTTTTTTACTTCATGCCTTTTTTCTTTTCCCCTATATTCGGTCTATCCAGGTTTAGCTGTTCACATCTGTGTCTTCTTTACCAATCAGCCCTCTGCATATATTTTGACCTACTACCCCCTTTTCCTAATCAGTTTATGTTGATCGTAATGGAAGAAATTATGAATTCAAGGAAAGATGCAAAGGGAAATTCATGAGGACTTCAGAGGATCCACTTCCACCTTCAGAGGAGCTCCACTTACAAAAGCCTCCTTAATAATGTGATATTGCATGTTGTTGATGCAGGTGTGTAGACAGACTACCAAAAGATGAAGGTGTGTTTGTGTACATGTGTGTGAATGAGAGGAAGACAGGTGGAAAGGTGAGCAAGAAGTAGAGGCAGCGAAGGTGGATGAGTTTAAATACTTGAGGTCAACCATCCAAAGCAACCGACAGTGCACGAAAGAGGGAAGAAGACAGGGTGGAGTGGTTAGCACTGAGACAGACTGACTCCCGTCCTATGGTAGCAACCCTCAACCGGATAAGCAGAAGAGAATGGATGTATGGTTTAGAAGACGGTGGCAGATACAACAAGACAGACAACAAGGCTGAAGTACTTTTCCCAAGTATTCACAGAATTCAGACAGCTCTTATTGTGGCTGCGCTTCAGGGACACTTCACTCAGTTAGAAACTTTCCCAAGAGAAATGAACTATTCAGCTGTGGCTCTAGTTCTGCCTTTCCCTCTTTTCCACTTTCTCTCATTGTGCTTTTCACAAGTCTCTGATTCCTCTTGTGATTTTAGCAGTATGTATTTCATCAGCTTTTAAAGCTAACTTTTCCTTTTATTTTTATTCGGCCTCCCAGAGCCTGCATTTTAGTCCTCTCTTCCCAAAAATAACACTTCTGAATACCATCTATACATACCCACAGTGGTAGCAGCAGGATGCCCGCAGTATGCAGTTTAATAACAGTTCTCGGGTTTTGCTCATTCCTCAGAGAGTAGAGATTTATTTAAACACACTCTTTCCACTTGTTCATTCATCTGAAATTCCCTCCTGGCACAGCCTTGCTGTGTGTGTGTGTATGTTACAATTGCAGCTTTATTGGCACGGTATGAATGAGGCACACATGCATGTGAGGGGAAACCCAGGGACGCTCCACAGCGAAGCCATTCACTGGAGAACTCCACTTAGGTGTGGTTATATTATAACATGCTTATTACAGATGACAACCGTGTGCTTTTTTACGATGTCATGTCTGGACGATTAATGATGAAAATGCTGCCCTTCCTAAAGAGGGTGTTTAAACCATTCTGCTAACTTCCAACTCCATATTTTACAGACATGCAAAGCTACTGCTGTAAAGCTCAAACTCAGTTCATCCTCACCCTTTAAACCAACTCTCTTCTCATTGGCTGCCTCCAATACACAGGTTTGAACAGCAGGTGCGTAGAGCTTCTGTGCACAAGATGTCTGTTTATGCAACATTCCTTCTTGCTTAATACAAAGTGAAGAGTAGATAAGACTGCATGTCAGAAATTTTAGCTCAGAATTTGGCCACGTTTAATAAAAGAAGTCATTTTAAAAGCATATTTATGATAGCAAGTAAACAAGATCATAAAGACTAACGGATGGTGTTTTTTTTTTTCAGGAGCACCACATCTAGATACTTGTGTACCCTCAAACAATGCAAACTGCCACTAAATTTGTTTTTATTCAGCAGGCTGAATTTGCTTAGTACAGTGAAATATAAACAAGAAAGCTCTACTGAGCATGCTCAGCACGAGGATGTCAGATTGAGGACTACATGTTCAGAAGCTGCTGTACATCACAAAGTGTCATGAAGAAGAAATCACTGTAGATGCAGAAGATTAAAGTTTTATTTCAACAGTTCTTTGAGCAACTGAATATTTCTCCAGATATGTAATCCACAATAGCAGATCGTCATGCTTCGCTGAGCCACGTCCCCAAAATCCCACCTGTACCATCAACAGGGTCAAGACAAAGGATCAGGAAAAAAACCCCCAAATAATGCAATATGTCTCTAAATAACAGCTACACAAGCTAAGAAAATTTTATCAAAAAAATACTAATTTTAAAAAGTTACATCAGCAATGAATGTGGCTAAATCTGAAATAAAACTAGACCTATCGCAGACTCTAAACAACAACAAAACCCCCCAACAGATTAATGAATCATTCAGGGAAGTGTCTGATTTGAAGGGCCAAACAAATAACGTTTGCAAAATCCACAAAAATTTTACACAGCAAACTCAGTCCTGCAGAACTGCAACGAGTCACTTTTCAGCTCAGTAACAGGAGCCAGAGACTCAGAAATGGAAGAAACCATCATTTTATAAACCAGTTCACTTTGACCCATTTCTGCCTGATTATAAAGTCTTCCACAAATTTTAGAAGTTTATGGAGAAGTTATTTAGTAACTGATTATTGAATATTGAACCTCATTTATCACTTCATACCACCTGTAAGTTACTGGTATTTGACTTGCAATCAAATTAATTTTCATCAGTCTATGGAAATTACTTATACAGAAAGGCTGATAACAGAAAAGCTTCTGCCACTGACTTCTTCTTTGGAAAACTGCTGTAGCCCCAACAGTGTCTGAGTTTCTGTGTTCATGATCTGTAAGTCACTGATATGATTTAATAAGTAAAATCCTTCGAATTTCACTTCAAATCAAATTGGTTTCTTCCAGTGGTTGATGGATAACAGGTGGGACCTGACAGAAGTATTCACTATGTAAACTTGTTTAAACATGTCCATGCAGATTGCTGATGGATTCCCATCAATGTCTTCTGCCTTCATGTCTGGACTATCATAAATGTCGAAGTCCTTCAACTCTACAGCTAATGTGAGTACCAAAAATCAGAAAAACAGCAGATGATGATGCTATTTTTCTAATATTACTGTAATTGCAATTTTTTTTCAGCCTCCAGCAGTAGATGAAGGTTTGGTGTCCTGAAGGATCTTTCACAGAGCTCAACTGCAGCCTTCTTTTGATTGGTTGGTTTAAACTACACCTCCATCCATCTGTGTTAAAGCTGCGTGATGAGAGTGATTTAACACTTGAGGAGCTGCCTTTGTGATGAGTTTCAGGTTTCTTTAAGACTTTGGATCAGTGCTGCTGAAGCTCAGTGGAAGTAGTACGAACAGCAGTGTTAACATGCCATATACGTTTAAATCTGACACGATCCACGATGAAATCCCTTCTCTTCTAAAAAAATACCTGTAATAAAAATGGTAAAAATATCTAAAGAGGTATCTCCAGCCGGTCTCACTGTGGATGGCCAATAGCAGGAGTCTGTGCAGCAGACCAACATGTAAAGATGGCCTAGGGTCTTTGAGCCAGCCGGCTCTTCCCTTCTTCCTGCTCCATCAGCTTGAAGTGAGTGTAGGACAGGATACCTGCCAGAGTACAGAGGATCCCCAACGCCTGAGTGAGAGACGGGAGGAGAGTAGAAGGTTTGGAAACTGAAAACTGCCTGGTTTGACTCATCAGAGCAGCACAGGAAGACTCACCTGGTTGAGTGAGAGTGGGTCATGGAAGAGCAGGTATCCACCAACCAGTGTGATGCAGAATTTAAAATGACCAAACATGTTATAGCTGTGAACTAGAATCAGGATAACAACATTTATGAATGTCATCTGAAATATTTGTACCAGAAGGACCTTGAGGCAAACCCCTCAGCACTATTCTGAAAAGACCACAACTCTTCCAGAAGTCTCTGAAGACCTCTTCAAGATGTTTAATTGCAATTTGCATTTTTTTTTTTACCACTTATCTGGGTTAGAGGTGTAAGGAAAGCAATCAATGGAGAAATATACAGGCCTTTCTCTCTTTTGTGACTTTCTGGAAGGATAACATGTTCAACATGCCTTAAAAACACTAGTTAGATGCCTGAACTACATCAACTGCCTACTTTTGATTTAGATGAGCATTAGGTTAGACAGCTCCTCACAAAATACCAATAAAACCAGAAACCTAAAACCGCCTTAAAAAATTCTTAAAAAAAAAAAAAAAGTTCCAAAAACCTAGGTGAGTCCTCAAAACCTAAGAAAAACAGTGAAATGATCAAGAACTTAATAAAAGTTCTCAACCCTTAAAGAGGTGTTTGGTTTGGAGTTCTTGAATCCCTAAAAAGCTCCTCACAAAGACTTCAAGACGCTGAAACACGAAAACTGACTCAAGGAGGTTTTAAATCTTTCCAAGACATAAACAGGTTCACTGTAAAGAACTTCTTAAACACCATTTTAAGAAGTTCTGCAACCCTTTCAATAAGACTAGAAAGTTTGATACATATGTAGCTCCCAAAGCTGCCAGAGAAAACCAATGTCTCCCCTGAAGGAGATCAGGAACACAAGAAGTCCAAAGAAAGCCTCATATTTGCACAAATTACTTCAGTTTACTTATTTATTAAAGTAAACTCCAACGAGATCTACGACAAACTGAAGCAACCACTGACAAACTGAAGCAACCACTGACATTACAAGACCTCTTCTAGCCCACAAGTGTTTGAGGATACGTAACAGGTGAGGTGTTTCCAATGATCCAGTAGATGGATAGGTTGACCAGGAAAGCCACCACGCCCGAGAACAGCACAGTCATCTAGAAGGAAGAAGAAAGCAGCCAGAAGAAAAGGAAAACACTGTTACCAGCTGCTCCAAATCTCAAACTAAGACTTGGAACATGAGTCAATGTATTAAATTAAACACTTCTATCTATTAATACATATAGCAGTATTTAATAACCAACTGACCAATGTGACTATCAGCAGAACAGACAGGCAGAATAAATGCCCCGCTTTTAATGTCTTTGATAAAATGTGCCAGACTATTACTTGGAAAGTCCCAGACATTAGATCCAATTGCAGATCATGTAGCTGCAGTTGTGTGCGTCTTTTTAAATGGTGTGTTAGTGTGTGTGTCATGTTGAGTCTGACCAGAGCAGGCAAAGACCAGGGTCCAAATATTCCTCCGGATCCAGTCAGCGGCTCAAACAGTGGAACGATGCAGAGCAGGAAGGCTGACGATAGAGGAGCCTAAAAGGACAGTCTGTGCAGTAAAAATCTACAGCCATTGCATTATAACAAGTATAAAATATAAATAACATCCTACTATTACTCCAAAGCTCTCCGCTAACCTGTCTCTGACCTGTAATGTGTCTTTAAGACACATTGCTTAATAGACACTGAAGCTGATTAACGTTTGATTTTACTGCTCTAGTCTACACTGTGTTGGTGAGGTGACAATCGTCAAACAATCTTTTAATTAATACATTTTAAATAATAAATTTTAAAGTTGTCTTTTTTTTTTAAACAAAAACCTTGAAAACTATGTTAAATACGTGGTACTAAAAATCTAGTGGACAAAGTACTTTTTAATTCCAAGTCCAATTCCAATACCATCATTTGGAACTGAATGGTACAAACAAGCTCCAAACCAAACATCAGCAGATCTCAAGGCAATTTGCAAGTCATTATGAAGAAGCCCTATATGACAGTAACAGGTCCTGAATAATTTATATCAGCAAGTTACAGGATGAGCCATAGGCCAACGTCAATGCCCCAAATCATCTGAAAGTATCAAAAAGTACCAACATAACTCTAGATGACAACTCGTAACAAGTCCCACATAATTCTGTACCAGCGGGTCCAAGAAAATATCATGAATCCAAATCAAGACACAATTGAGCAACCTGCAAATCAAAAATGAACATTTTAAGTCTCTAAGAATCCCAAGAAAAGAATAACAAGTCCCAATTCCAGTTTTAATGTAAGGCCAAACATTCCTAGAAATATACTTATTAAAACCTAGGAAATAATCCACATGAAATGAATAATAGTACAAAAATTAAGCCCAGGGTCTAAAGTCCCTATCCAGTTTGCTGTCCAAAATCAAAAGCCCAGTTGTTCATCAACAAGTCCTGTAATAAATCATTAGCATTACAAGTTTCAAGAAAAGGGAAACAAGTCCAAAATAAAATATTAGCAAGTAAACAAATATTAAAGATCTAATTTCCAACTCCAGTTCCAAAAAAAATGCAAAGAAGTCCTGGGACTAAATCTGAAAGTCTTAGGCCAAATCCCAAATGAAAGGGAACAAAGTCCAAAGCCTTGCATCTTCAGTCTGGTTCCAAGTCGAGACAAGCCAGCGAGTCTCCAATTATGACCCTAAACTAAAGCTACAAACCTCAGGCCCCAATAAAAGGAAATAAATCTAAAATCAAGTCTCTGGTCAAAATAAATAAATAAAATCAACAAGTACAAAAGTCTTGTTGCAAATTCCAAAATAGAGTTCCAAATCAATAATAAATAATGACCAACAACTCAAGGCAAGCAAAGTAAGCAGTCCAGTTCTACCCCCATCGCATAATAAGCAGTATTACATAGGAAAACTGATTAGATTATCTAACTCTAGATACTGAGTATTCAGTGATCTCTTACTTGGTTTGAGGCTGGGTCTCACCTGATAGTATAAAAGCTGCATGGAGTTCACCTGGAGCTCATGTTGCTTTGCCCCCACCCACTGAGAGAGAAATGTGGAGAACAGTTAATTACTTTACTTCAGTCTCTGTGGAGTGTTTTGTCAGCATATACATTTACTCACCACTTGGTAAAGTGACGTCACCAGAACTCCAAGAGACGCGAACACAATCCCCAGCAAGTTGAACCGCACATCATAGTACGAGTTCAGTATCACTCCTAATGTTATGGGTACCTGAGGAGAGGGGAACAGATTGTGCTGACATTGTTTCTCACTTACCCCAAAGTGACCCAAACCCCAGTATCCTGTCAGAATCATTCAGATTGGCATGTTTCTACAGCTCTAACAAGCAGATGGGACTTTGCTAACCAGTGTAAGTTTAATCTTGGTGGAGAAGGTCTTCTTGTAGTAGGTGGTCTGGATGAGGATGATGACGGGAGTGGTCATTGCTTTAGCCAACTGGTACGTTCCTATCGAATTGTTCTGTAGGGAAAGGTTGGTAAATACCACGAACCCGCAGAAGCTCAGAGCCAGCCACACGATCCTGCGAATCGGAAGGCTTTTTGGAGCAAAAACATCCATTTTCTGGCAGAAGTAGAGTCCCAGCCAGGTGACCACAAAGTGAACGAGGGTCAGGGTCATGTTGGGGAAGCCATAGTGTACGTAGATCCATTTGTTGATGAAGACGATACAGATGGAGGAGAATAGATTGACCAGCAGGCCAGCAACAATGCTCCTGTTGGCTAAAAAGCTGGCAGCCATGATCTGGGAGGCCTCAGAGTTAAAGTTACTCAGACGGAGCTTTGTTGAACTTAGCTGAGCTGCTCACACTGGCCAAAGAGAGATACGAGTGTTAGAAAGTCTAAAACTAAAAAAAAAAAACAGTCAAGACGCTCATGGTACAATACAAGCTACAAGCAAGATAAGTGTTTTTCTATTTTGAGAATCCAACAACTACAATAAAAAAATCATTAAAAGGTTTAACAAAAGCACTGAATTAACTATATGAAGGTAAATATATTATCATATTTATACATAGACCTCAATTTTTGAGTCTCAGACGTAATTGAGCAAACTAACTTAAATATAGGGATTATTTTTGGTACTTGGATGAAAGTCAGTGATCACCAAATGCTGCATTTACTACTTTGAGATGCTCCGCCATGCCTTTACTTCAGCTCCTGTCAGCTGCTGCTTGTTTTATTGAGTCTTCAGTCACAGAAAGGCTGTTTTATTGGTTTGAGATCAGGTGACTGACTTGTCCAATGAAGAATATCACATTATTATTATTATTTTAGTTTACTTTTGCAGCCTTCTTTAGGTCATTATGAATTTCCACTTTGAAGCTATCTGATCAGTTTTGTGTCATTTGTCTGATTGTGAGGAGCGAGTACAACCCTTTACACTTTGCAATCCATCCTCATGTTTCTGTAAGCAATCACTTCAATAATAAGCATTAATAGTAACCAGTATTTGCACCTTGTTGTAAATCATCTCCATTTCCATTCATGAAGTCATCCCTTAGTTATAGACTTTGACTGTGATACACTTGCCCAAGTCTTTTACTTGGTTAGATGTCATAAAGTTGTTTTTATTATCTGTAGTGGCCTTTTGGGCCTTTGGGTGCTGCTGGGCTGAGCAGTGCGTTTACTTGGTGACTTATGAAGTTTCTGCTCTCTATCATAGATTTATTTGTGTTTTTAGGGTAATAATGGCTAAGCCACGTTAGGCGTCCCAGTGAACAAATACTGAATATTAGAGATTAATATTGGTGTTTTTACTCCAATACACTGAAAGCACACAAAAGAAAGTTCCTTAAATTGTAATCCAGTGTCGTAAATAGCATAATAATCGTTAAGCCCTCTCCAAGCCTTCAGACTACCGGAGGGAACATTTTGCCGTTTGTAATGGTTAACGGTTAAAATAACGGAGTTCTGCCTGATGCTCAGTCTTACTTTATGTTTTACTTAAAACCATTAGGTGGAAACCGGTAGAGCTACTCAAGTTCACAGCTCCACTCACATCTAAAACGATACGTAGTATATATATTAAAAAAAAAAAAGACTTATCCGCTTCTCTGTCTGTCTGCCAGGCACTGAATAAAGTTTACCTCGGGTCATCTTTCCATTTGCCTCCCTGCTTCTCCTCCGTCTCGCCTTGCTGCCGCCAAACAAACCCCGGAGAGGTACCGGTCTTCCCCGGCGTTCGAAGCTCCTCTCCCGGCCTCTGCAGTGCCCAAATCCCCGCTGCTGTGCCGGAGGAATGTCTTCCCTGCTCTTCCGCAGATCGTAACACAGCCGTGACTTCTAGCAGCAAGAGAAGAAAAAAACACCCAGTGAGTGAATATGTTCCTGCTTCCTCCCAGTTTAACACCGTTTACCGTTTGTGTCTATCAAGCAACAGCGGCTGCTAACGGACCGGAGGGAAGAGGAGCGCAGAGGTGGTCTATGTGGCAGATGTCTCCCTCCATAGAGAAACTAAGCCGGGTGCAGAATTTGCAGAATGCCACAATGAAGGGTTTTCCAGCATGTTTAAGTCCGTGCCAAAGCATCTCAGTCTGATTTAAGTCCAAACTGACTGGGCCACACAAAGAACCTAAAGGGCAGCAGCCCCAGACATTCACACTACCACCATGTTTGACTGTTAGTATGATGGTCTTTTTATGAAATGTGGTGTTAGTTTTATGTGAGGTGTAACAGGACTTAAACCTTCTAAAAGTATATTTTCCCCAAAATATTCTGTGGATTTTGGGATCATCAAGATGTGTTTTGGCTAACATGAGACTAGCCTTTGGCCTGTCTTTGGTCAGTGGTTTTCTCCTTGGAACTCGCCATTTTTGCCCAGCTGTTTTCTTATTGTTGAATCATAAACTCTCAACTTAACTGGGGAAGGTGAGGTCTGCAGTTCTTTAGATGTTGTTCAGGGGCTTTTGTGACCTCCTGGATGAGTCATTGATGGGCTCTTGGAAGATTTTTTGGTTGACAACTCCTGGGAATTTTCACTACTGTTGCAAGTTTTGTGGATAATAGATGTCACTGTGGTTAACTGGAGTCCCAAAGACTTGGAAATATCTTTGTAACCTTTTCTACACTGATAGATGTCAGTGACTTTGGTTCTTATTCATTTCTTTATATCGTGGCATTATGTGTTGCTTTGAGATCTTTTAGCTTACATCAGACAGGTTCTCTTTTAGTGATTCAATAGATTTGGACGTAATCAGATTTAGATTTTTTTTCTATGATTAATAAAACACTTAAGTTTACAAAAAAACAGTGGAGACATATACAAGGCTGGATGCAATCTAATTACAACTCGTGGGGGCAGCAGTGTGAATTAAGAGACGCAGTCTGCTGAGAATTGAAAAGATGTAGAAGAAGCAGCCCCGTTAAACCTCGTGAAGCGGGAACTGACAACTCACCGCTATGGACTGGTAAAAACATTATTTTTAAGCGTTATTCAGCAGTTATACACATTTTACTCTTATGTATGGTTAGTTGGGCATGTGTCTGGTGATTACAGACCATTGGCCTTTTATTTAGTCCGCGAGTGTGCTAAATTCAGGGACTTCAACTTTGCTAGCTAACGTTAACAATGCTAACAGCGCTAATGCTGCCGTTCACAGTGAGTGGCGATGCTAACCGGCTAAATGCTCTGGTTTTGGTACAGTTGACAGTCGGTAACAAGAGCTGCTTTCTAGGGTGAATAAAATAAGAACTAGTGGTTTAGTAGAGCTGTTAGCAGCCAGTATTTTGGAAGAACTACTGCAATTAGGGAAGTATTACGTAAAGATAGATTTACGAGGTTATAACTGAACTACGTTAAGTGTTATAAAGATTGCAGTATGTTGTTGTTTTATGAGTACTAACTTTTGATATGCTCTCGGCTATATATATCGTGGCAAAATTGTTTGCTGTAGTTGTTTTATTTACATTGCATGGGTTCACACAGAACTGTGACGCTTCTTGTTAGTTTAGGCACAGTTAGCCAGTGACTAAAATTGTTTTTTAAAGAGAACCGTCGGGAAGTGCCACGGCTTTTTGTGTTGAACCTAACAGTAACCTTTGACAAGTGATTAGAAAATTAAATTGTCTTTTGTCTTCTTTTGACTGCTTCTAGTAATTTAAAGATTTACATATAATGTCAAGAACAAGGTTGATGTCCAGAGCTGTGGCAGCTACAGAGAGATAAAGATGATGAGCCATACCATGAAGCTCTGGGGAAAGAGATGCTGAAGCTAAGAAGTGAGGTGATTAAAAAGCAAGAAGCAATATGGCTTCACGAAAGGGCAGGTTTACAGGATCTTAGTGAGACCTGCCAAAATGTATGGTTTGGAGACGGTGGCACTGAAAAAATAGGTTGTCAAGCTGAAGTGACCAGGATGGACAGGATTAGATACAAGGACAGCTCGGGCTGAGATGGTTTGAACATGTGCAGAGGAGGGATGGTGCATATATTCGACAAAGGATGTTGAAGATGGTCTCTGGAGATTCACGGATGGTGTAAAGGTGGACTTGGAGAGGAGAATTTTTGGGAAAGGATGACGGGTAGGGAGATGATCTAATATCGCAACCCCTAAAGAGAGCAGAGAAAGAAAAAAAGATGTAAATTCAGTGATGTAAAAGCCTCTGAACTGCACATACATTAATATGTTTATAATTCTCTAGGTAAGGTGCTTTCTTGTGCTTCATCTTGTCCTTCAGGGCTCAGAGTGAGCTGCCGTCTCCGGTGGTTCGAGACGACGAGGTAACGGTTGCTGCCCGCAGGAGGAGGAAGAAAGTGGCCTGTATCCTGCTGCAGAAAGACTTTAACCTGATTCCTGTCCAGCCCCTACACCAACCCACTCAACCCAGCAGCTGCTGATGGGTCTTTTAATAAAGGGGAAAGGTGGAAATGTAGCTGCAAGCTTTATGGTACATTCACCTTTCTAAAATGGGAACAGGAACCTGTAACCCTACGATTTAAACTGTGATTTGTCCCGTCTTGTCCATTTTAGATGGTGGAGTCTCAGAATTGGAGGGCTTTATAACCTAGTTCAATCAATGTTGGTTGGTTTGGAGTGCTTCATTTGGTGGAGCTTCCACACAAATGCATAAACACAGTCCAGGTGGGACATGGTGTATGGGTTGGATTATAAATGAGCTCCCGTTGGTGTGTTATTGTATGGTGCAGAAATTGTTGTGATTATTGAGTCATGGTTAAGATCTGTAGTATGAAGCAAGTGCAACAAATCCTAAAATCCCAGCAAGAGATTCTGGGTATCATGATGACGATTATCAGCAATCTTTCTTGATCGTGTTTTTTTTTTTTTTTTTTTTTTTTTT